CACCCCCTGCCCTGAGCCTCACCGAGGCCAGCGCCTTCCCAAGGGCGTCCCCAGAACTGCCAGCTGTGGTCCCTCGGGAGCCTGTGGGTGCACAGAGGTAAGACCCAACCTCAGGGATTTGGTGCCCCCAGTACCTGGGCTTAGCTTGGATGCCCCAGATGACGGGGAGTTCCCTTCTATACTCAGCTACTGGGCATGGATGCCCAAGCCCAGGACTGGACAGCCCCTAATTCTGGCCTGGTTTCTGCCTGATGTCTCGCCACCTGCCTCCATGGAGGGTCTGGGGACAGGCAGACCATGGGTCCTGGAGTGAAAGATTCCCCAATCTGAGCCACAGTTTCCCCAAATGTAAAGTGGGGGAATCCACTCCTTGAAGAGCCATTTTTTTCTTTTTTGTGTGTGTGGGGTTTAAAATGTAAGTATCATTAAAAACATAGCAACATAGCACAAAAGGCAGGAGAGAGTTAAATAGAAAGGATTTCTAGGTAATAAGCCATTTTCAAATATCAGGAATGGGGCCACGGGGCCAAGGAGCCCCTGAGCTGATCCCAGGAGAGGGAGGACATTGTTAATAGCAAGGAGCACATCAGAGGGGACCATACCCATGAGGCTGTCGGCCCCACTGACGGGGGGCGTGTGGCTGGCAACACTGCCATAGGTGGCTGTGGGGGCTGAGAAAGTGGACACAGCTGGGAGCCCACCATTCACCTCTGCACTGTGCAGTTGGTAGCCCTGTGGTGGGATGGGGTTAAAGGGGGGTGAGATGGGGTCGGAGGGGGTGCTACCCAAATGCACGCCCCCACCCCATCCCAAGGGGCCTACCATGCGCTCGTGCTGGTGCAGGCTGCCAAACCCACCGCCACTACCACTGCCCACGGAACTGCCGCCACCTGGCGGGAGGGGGAGGGGGGATGAGCTCCCACCCAGCATGGGCCCGAAGCCCGCCTGGCCTGCAGGGCTCCAGAGCTCGGTCGAGGGGTGCAGGCTGCCATCTGCAGAGAAGGGGAAGATAGTGAAATGGCAGGCAGAGGGACCCAGGACCTGTCCCAGTCATCTTGGGTGAGCCCCCACATACCTGCCATATAGAAGGGAGCTGGGTAGGTGCTGCTGGGGGTCTTGGCAGATGGGTAGGGGGTGGTGTCCCTGCCATAGTCATCACCTGAGCTGGGTGGGTACACCTGTGGGCAGGTAGATGCGTACTGTCAGGTAGGAGGGGCAGGACTAACTCATTCCCTCTAGCTCTTGGCTGGCCCCTTCCCCAGTCCTGTCCTCCAGCTGGACAGCAGTCTACCCCACCACCCCATTTCTCTAAGCTGGACCTCTTGCACAGAATTCCTTTTCCCTCCTTAATCCAGCAAACTCCTTTTGATCCACTAAAGCTCAACTGTGGTGCCCCCAGCCCTTCCTTCTTCCTTGTTCCCTCAGTGCTGAAACGTGCCTTGGCCTCAGCCCTGAATATGCAAGACCCGGAGGCCTCAGAGACAGGGCCCTGAACTAATATTCCACCCAGGGTACCCCAGAGCAGAGAGATAGCAAAGTCTTGTAGGATCACTGCCAACTCTGATCTGTGCGCACTGCCTGGAACTGAGGCAGGGCGCAGGAGAAAGTGCTGGGATCAACTGGTACTGTCTGCCCCAACACTACAGTAGAACAAAGGGGGCTCTCAGCTCTAGGAAACTGGGGTGCGGATTTAGGTGAGGAAAATGGGGAGTTGATGACATTGTAAATGACACCAGGAGTCAAGTCTTAAGACTGTGTGAGCCTGCCTGGCCGGGCGTGGCTCAGCGGTTGAGCATCGACCTAGGATCCAGGCGATCGGGGTTCGATTCCCGGACAGGGCACATGCCCGGGTTGCGGGCTCGATCAATGACTCTCTCATCATTGATGTTTCTATCTCTCTCTCCCTCTCCTTTCCTCTCTATGAAATCAATAGATATATTTAAAAAAAAAAAAAGACTGTGTGAGCCTGACTGCACCTCCTAGCTGTGGAATGTCAACTTTTGACACTAACTCCCGAGTCTATGGCCTAGAGTTGGCTGGGTCAGCCTGTGGAGGCTTTGCCTGACTCCCTGGGCCCAGGGGCTCCTGAAGGCTGCTACAGAGCCAAACTGAGAAAACAGGCAAATTGCCTTTTCTTCCCGAGATTAAATCTCAAGTGTCCCAGGACCATCTGTTGGGCCTGGTACCCTGCCAACCTCCAAACAGCAGGCTGGGGATACAAGGTGGCTCAAACCTGGGTGGACAGGGTACGGGGGGGACCTACTAACTGGCTGCCAGGGTGCTCCCACCTGCTCCCCCTCCCAGGACCCACGCCCTTTCTAAGACATCACAGGACATGATTTCTTAAAGCAAGAAAGATTGAGACTAGATCCCAGAAAGAACTTCCCAAGCTCCCTGGGAGGTAGTCTCTGGTCAGAGCTGAGGTCTTGAGGCAAAAGCCCAGCTGACTGGCCAATCTAGCTGGGGATTTTGCCTCAGGACCCACATGCCCACACTGAGGAGGTGATGTGGATCTACGTGTTCCTGGCTGCCGCAGCACACACAGCCTAGTGTTTCCAATGATGCATTGGGTGGCCTCCAGCAGGAACGGACCCCAAGCCTGGAGGGCAAGAGAGGCATGTGGTCTGTGGGGTCCCTGCTCCATCCCACAACTCACCGAGGATGGAAGACCTGGCGGCACCTTCCGGACTTTCTTGGGCTGCGTGTCTATTAGGAGTAAAAGGAGTGAGCTGCCACATTGAGCCTGGCTCCTGTTCCACCCAGTGTCCTTCAAGGCCCAGGGACATGCGTATCACTGGGGGTATCAGGAGACAGCCTACCCCTGCACCTTGGAGAGGAGACCCTTGAGCTTCCTTTTAATTTAAATAAGGGTTTGGGTTTATGTGTAGGGGGACTGACAATGTGCAAGAATCATGGGGGGGTCTGCAGCAAGGAGTCCTGGAAGTGGGGAGTCAATGGATACTTGAGCCAGGGCCCTGCTCCAAAGTCCCCCATTCTGTCCCCACCCCAACTCCCACAGTTGATCTTCTTTATTCACAGATCACAGACTTGCAAATCTGCTGAAGTTACTTCCCCCAAATCATATGTGCAGTTTGTTAGAGGCCACTCACAGTCAGGCACAGAGTAGGGAAACCTGGGTGGACACCTTACATGTGCCCACTGAGGGGGAACCAGGTGGCACTCTGCCTTCTAGTTCCAGCTCACACTATAAACCAGGGTCCTTTTCTCGAGATCTATCAAGAGCCCTAATTTACATGCTTTTTGTGGGATGTTTTGCTGCTTAAAATACTTCCCATGTGTGCAATTGTGCCATGGTGCTGGCTAGTGTCTCTGAGAGCAGAAACTGGGACATGAAAAATATGTGTTAGATCAGCTATATTCAGGCCTGAGTTACAGCACAGCTAGCCAGTTCTGTGCTAACGAATCAAAGATTTATGTGACTAAGGCGTCTTTAGACAGAAACACATGTGACACAAAGTTATGTATTGATCGGTTGACCAGAGACTGAAAGGAATGTATCCTTGCATTTCCCCAGGAGCAAGGAATAGGTGTTCATGGTGACTTGATAGGACAGAACCTCTACAAATAACAAGAATCTACTGTTTCTTTCTTGGTTTACCACCCATCCTTCTATCCATATGATCATCCCAGTCTGGCCAAGGCCTAGGGGNAACCAGATGGCACTCTGCCTTCTAGTTCCAGCTCACACTATAAACCAGGGTCCTTTTCTCGAGATCTATCAAGAGCCCTAATTTACATGCTTTTTGTGGGATGTTTTGCTGCTTAAAATACTTCCCATGTGTGCAATTGTGCCATGGTGCTGGCTAGTGTCTCTGAGAGCAGAAACTGGGACATGAAAAATATGTGTTAGATCAGCTATATTCAGGCCTGAGTTACAGCACAGCTAGCCAGTTCTGTGCTAACGAATCAAAGATTTATGTGACTAAGGCGTCTTTAGACAGAAACACATGTGACACAAAGTTATGTATTGATCGGTTGACCAGAGACTGAAAGGAATGTATCCTTGCATTTCCCCAGGAGCAAGGAATAGGTGTTCATGGTGACTTGATAGGACAGAACCTCTACAAATAACAAGAATCTACTGTTTCTTTCTTGGTTTACCACCCATCCTTCTATCCATATGATCATCCCAGTCTGGCCAAGGCCTAGGGGACTGATCCCCTCCCTGCCCCCACCTCTGGGCCCACCAGCCCTGCTGGCAGCCCCACTCACCTAGGCCGCTGTCCGCCGCTCTCCGTCGAGCATGGCTGGGGTAGGAAGAGTAATACTGGGATCCACTCTTAATGCCTGAGGGGGACAGTGGCCCAGGGCTGCTGAGGGCCAGCTCACTGGGCAGGAAGCCAGCCTAGGAAGGGGGATGAAGGTCATCAACAGGCACTAGGCTGGTGTCTAGCACCCAACCCGGCCATCCAAGGGATGACAGTGACCCTTGCTTGAGACATTTCTCTCCTGAAAGCTCAGCATTACTTTTAAGAAAAACAGTTGCCAGCAAATCTGAAAAGAGACTGTGTTCCGGGATGCAGAAGGTGCAAACATATGCATCTGGGCATCAGTGAAATCTGGTTTAATTTGTGCATGTCTTTTTTTAAAGGTAGACGGTTTAATTCTGCAGCGTTTAAAATGAGTTTTCTACCCTTGGGAGTAAGAGTGACTGAGGTTTGAGGCTCCATGTGAGTGGCTGCTCTGTCTGATCTTTCCCATCTGTAAAATGGGCATGTCGGCTCAGGGGGAGTCCTGGGGAACAATGGGCCTTATGGGCTCTGCCTTTGGCACAGGGCCTGGTACACAGTTGGTGCTCAATAGCCAGGACTGCTGCCACTCTGGGTCAGGCCTGGTATGTACACAAGTGGTGTCACCTGGGATAAAGCACAGCTGCACCCTGAGATTCAGGAGGCATAGGAGGGGACAGGAATGAAACCCTTAGGTGTGTGTGTGGGAGGATGCCCAAGGGGTGACCTGAACAGGAGGCCACATGGGACCACTGTGGCCAGTCAGTGCTGTCAGCTGGGGTGGGCATGAGTGAGTTTTGCCTGGGCTGGGTGCCCGTGGGGGGGGGGGCTCCCTGGTGGCCACCGCACAGGGGCAGGGCCCCAAGGCTGCTGGGCTGGCCTGTTTTTCTGTGTGCACTCAGGGGTGGGCAGGTGTCTCTCTGAGCCCCTCCAGCTATGAACAGTGGCCCCCAGGTTGGGGGGCCATGGGGCTGTGGCCTCCCCTGCCTTCCCCTTCCCTCATCCACTCCTGGCCAGCTCAGGCTGCCCTGGGACCCAGTCCTATTTTAGCTGCTGCTGGAATAATGACCAGCATTTGGTTCAGCGAGGGACTGTTGTGCAGATCAGGGGAAGAAACTGTTACCAATCTCTTTAAAATTTTAAAAGGTGGGAGGAAAAGGGGTGGGTGGAGCGGTGACTGTAGCCTCCACTGGGTCCCCTTCACACTCTGGCCAGTCCCTGCTCACCTGCGATGCCCTTCCAGCCTGAAGAAGGGCATCGCATAGACATGCATGCCGACCCCATAGACATGGTCTCACCTGAGTCAAGCCCCCAACACCTGCATCTCTCCCGAAGGCAGTATATGCACTCCGCTCGCCACCCTTGCCTGGAGAGGGGGAAAATGAGTCACTCAGAGCCAACCCCAGGGAGGTCGCATCCCAAGCACCAGGCTCATGCCTGCATACAGCAGAGGTTCCACAAGTGCACAACACTGGGAGAACCAAGGTGGGATGCTGGTCTCCCCACTGGCCTGATAGACAAGTGAAGATGTGGCCAAATATCATTCCTTTCCTGATGACCCACGGAGGTTTATGGAAGTTCACCAACCTGCACCCCCCGCCCCACCGGTTTCTGAAGTGGGTCAGTGCCGAGCTCAGACCCCCCTGCCCTCTGAATCTCATCTCCTCTGTGCAAGGTCATGAGATGTCGACTCCCCAGGGTGCTGGGCTCCCAGGGGCAGGATGGGGGGGCGGTGGTAGTGGTGCCTTGTGTGTGTGAGGTTTAGTGCCCAGGTCCCTGCCAGGGGTTAGTTTATGACATCCCTGGGAATGCTGACTGAAGTGACTTGGTGAAAAGGGGCCCTCTACTGTGTGGGCAGGTGACAACTTGGGTTGCAGGAACACTGCTTGCCTGACAGCCACCAGTGTGGACACTGTACAGATGCCTGGATCCAGCCTTGCCTGAACCAGGTGGCTGGATCAATCAACAGCTGAGACATTTAAGTTTGTTTCTGCCTTAAATTGCGTGCCAATCTCAACATGAGTGAGGAATAAGAATGCTCAGCCGATTAATTCTAATTATTCTCCAACTACTAGGGGAAAGATCTCGTTTTCTTTACTTTAAAAGTACAATTTCAACTAGACTCCTAGAACAAAGGCTGCCGGGGTACAGAGAGGGGCCATGCTTCCCACCCACACCCCTAGTGCCCCCTCAGGGCAGGTGACATTGGGTCATCTTAGGCATGAGTAAACAGACCTGGCAGTTAAGAGGCCCAGCCTCAATGCAGTGAATGAATGGGGGGGGGGAATGCCAGTGCTTCTTTCCTCCCAGGGTGGGTGTGGGAGCAAAGATGGCAGGCCCAGGGAGGGTTTTAGGCTCTGCCTGGGGAAGCAGCTTCACCTCCCAGACCCTTGGCTCTCCCTGCTCGTCAGGGCTGCCACGGCTTAGGCTCTGCATAGAGCAAGTGCCAAATATAGGTTTCCAAAGAGATGAGGTGAGGGAGGTAGGAGAAGCTGAGGCTCTGGGAGAAGACCCTGTTGGGGCCATGAGCCCCATTGGCATACATCAGACACCTAATCTAAGTGCTGGACCTGGGCTATATCAGGGCATGAGGGCGGGAAAAGAACAAATAGCAGAGAGTAAAACTACCAGGATCTCATAGGGAGCCAGACTGGGCTGGAGGCTGCATAAGAACAAACTGGACTGACTCCTTGGGGAGCTGGGCCCTCACCACCCACCATCCTGCCATGGCTGCCACCAGGCCTGTAAGCCACACCAACCCCTTCCAGCCTGGTCCAGGGGTGAGAAACTGGCCCAGGGATACCAAGGCTGCACCAACCTCCCTCCCCACTGGGCCTGGCCTGGGCCACAGCTGGCCCAGCCACAGACCTAGAACGCTGGCCCTGCTGACCAGGCTCAGTGTGGGAACTGCTTGCACCAGGAAGAGGCGGGAGGAAGGAACAGCAGAAGGGAACAGCTGCAGGTGCAGAGGCCACCCTGGGCCACGTGGGCTGGGCTTTATTTCCTGGTCTGGGAAATGGGTGCAGACTCTAGCTGTGCAAAGTGGGTGCATGGATGCTGTCCCCCTGCTACGATTCCTCAGGCCACACTAGCCTTTTCAGCCCTACTGTGCACCTAGCAAGCAACACATGACCCATGGGGTCTGGCAGGTGCTGTCCCCTCAGGGTTCAGCACAAAGGCCTCCAGGCTCAGTTTCCCCACCAACTGATCAGTCACATCAAGGGTCCCACAGTCCACACATCCACTCCCCCAGCAGCCACCTTAGCCTATAAACTGCTAACAATGGTATTGAGATGAGTAGATTCCATGTGGCTTTTGTGTGAAGGATGCTGTCTCAGGACCCCCCAGGCAGTGAACGAAAACCCCACTTATAGTCCAAGCTCCGAGGTGGGAGCTGACTCAGGGCAATAGCATCCAACCCTCCAGAGAAGATAGTTTTATAGTCATCCCAAGGCTTCCTCAGAACTGGAAAGGGGGTGCCAGAGCTCAGCAGGGCACATGCCATGGTCCCCTAGCGAGAGGGATGGCACAGAGAACAATCAAGGCCAACAGTCCCAGTGGACGGAGCCCTGGCCAGCCTGTGACCAGCCACAGACTCCTGGACAGGTCCCTTCTGGCTAGGTCTCTGCTCATCTGCAAGATAAGGGGGCAGAGGTGCCTGTGGGACCTAGAACTCTGGGCAAGGCCTCATTACCCAGTACGAGAAAGGTTCTGTGAACATCCCTATCGCATGGGTGAGGAAGGCAAGGCCAGAGAGGGGATGGCCTCAACCAGGCCTAGTGAGTGAAACTTGAGCATAGGCTCATCGAGCCCTGATTCTCATAGTCAGCAAGAGCAGGCTCCAACCGCCTGAGTCACCAGGATGTCCAAGTCCACTTCCTGGTGGGGACTTGGCCAGCCCCCACTGACCTGGGGGTGGAGCGGGGTCAAGGCCATATCTACCTGCACCCTCTGCTCCAGGTTAACATCCCTAAAGTGTTACCACTAAGTGCACTCACAACGCCCCAAGGACCCTATGTGGGTGTTGAGGGAAGGGGCTGTGCTCCAAGGACACTCACCTCCAAGCCCTGGTCCCAGGAATGTAGATGAAGAGAGGCTGCCATGGGACTCGCTGAAGTGAGCGCTTTCACTGTAGGTCTGCAGAGAGACAGGTGGGCATGAGGGGTGTTGGCGCACCCCATTTTACAGCTGGGGAAACAGGCTTGGGAGGTAGGTATGCTTATAAGTACCTGAGTCACAACTTTAACCAACATAACTAAGCCCAAAGTCCCTGCAGACTAGGTTGGTGCCCGACCTTCCCCCCTCTGAGACTTAGTTTCCTTATATGTCCCTCTCCCCTGGAAAAGGGAAACCCAGGGTCTCAGGCCCGGCAGCAGCTTCTCACCCGGCTGGGGTCGAAGGAGGAGCTGTTCTGGTCGCCAGTGCCCCAGGAGCCTGAGCTGGGCCGGTCATCCAGACCTGCAGGACAGGAAGAGAGAGGGTCACCCTTACCCCTGCCCAGCTCTAAAGTCAGCTCTAGCTCTCTTCCTCATCACCCCAGGGGAGAGCCCTCATTCAACTCAGCATGGTTTCTGGGCCCATCCCAATCCAAATGGGCCCTGGAGCCTATCCAGCCTCACCCAACTCTAGCTCTGCCTGTACTGACACCACTGTGAGTGGCAAGTGCCCCAGACACCCAGGCACTTAGCATATTTCCAAGTCTGTAGCTCAATAAACAATTGCACCAGCTGTCACTGCTGGCAAACTCCTACCCATTCATCAAAACCCTATCCACCATGCCTACCCTGAGGAGAGCCCTCACTCACACTGAGCATCCTTCCCCTAGCCTAAGGCCCCTCCCTCTGGCCCAGCCCTAAGCACACTGGCTGGGGCGTCTTGGGTCAGGCTCATTCTCTCCTGACGCTGTGAGAAAGGCTCACAAAGGCATAAGCAAACGGGTCATGAGTGATCAGCTTGGATCTTGGGAAAGTGCGAATCTCCCCTTGCCCATCCCTGCCAATTTAGGAGGTGGGCATCCCTTTGTTGAAGTAGCAGCAGCTGCCACTGACTACCCACTAGGCACAGGCTGGCAGCCCGCCTGGGGTGGAACCCAATCCCTATTAGGGACAAACCGAGGCTCCTGCCACCTGTGTGCCAGGCTGAGAGGCTAGAGGCCCAAGGTGTAGCCCGGGTTAACCAGAGTGGGGAGAGGACCCTGGTCTCAAGGGGTAGGGCAGGGTGGGGCTCTTATCTTCCCGGACACTTTCCCAGGCACCAAGCACCCGCCCTAGACTCAGAATCTTCCTGGGCCCAGGCTCCCACCCCATCCATCAGGGATCACAGAGCACATGGCCTGGACTAGTAGAAGGGGAGCAGTCCCAGGCCCTTCCCTCTCTGTGCCTCAGTTCCCCTCCTCTGTAAATGGGGTTATGAACAAGCCCACTTGGCAGAACTGGGGAGGAGAGGACATAGGAGGCGGCGGCCACCTGTACAATCCCACTCCCCATCCACCTCCAACTCCACATGCTGGAGTTCCCATGCACCCCATCCCAAATCCTGCCTCCTGCCCTCCCCTCCTTCCTTCAAATTGCATCCTTCTATTTTGGTGGCACTGTTAACCATTTCCCCCAGAGAACTGGTGTTTAATTGCAGTCTAATTTGCATGATGATGCATATTAATCCTCATCCTAATGAATATTCATACATCTCATTTAGATTTTGTCTTCTAATAAAAAATTTCCAACGTAATTATGGTGTGTGGGGGGGCTGACTCAGCAGGTGGAAGACCAAGTAAGGGGGCTCCTGTAGTCTCCAGGAATCCATTTCTGTGCTCTTCCATGTCTGGGGTAACTGTACCAAAAGGTCCTGGGCCACCTGGGCTCTGGGAAGGAGAGCAGAGCAGCCAGTGAGGCAGGGGTAACCTTGAGTAAAGTGCCAGCACCCGCGGAGCCTCAGTTTCCCTCTATGTGCACTTGCCTGTTGTTCCCTCATCCTCTGTAGCAGCCCCCACTCCTGAAGGCCTGGGAGTGGTAAAGGGAACTCCTGGGGCCTAGGAACTCTGCCGCCATGGGCCCAAGAACTGAGGAAATAGGGTGCTGCTCTGCCCTTTCTGGAAAAAGTCGCTCTTCCAGCCCCCACATCCCCTTCTATAAATGACAATAATAGGGACAGCCCCTTCCTCCCCCATTACTTCTATTAATAGTTATTAACCCCCATACAGATTAACTATGCATTTTAACAACCCATCTCTTGTTCATATTCTAATTAAAAGATACCAATAGAATAAGATATTATATGCCCAGCCAGGCATGGCTCAGAGGTTCAGCATCGACCTAAGATCCAGGACATCACAGTTCGATTCCTGGTCAGGGCACATGCCCGGGTTGTGTGCTTGAATCCCAGCAGGGGGCGTGCAGGAGGCAGCCAATCAATGACATCAATGTTTGTTTTTTTGTTTGTTTGTTTTTTTAAACATATCTTTATTGATTTCAGAGAGAGGGAAGACGGGGGAGAGAGAGAGAGAGAAAGAAACATCAATGACGAGAGAATCATTGATTGACTGTCTAGCCCGCAACCCGGGCTTGTGCCCTGACCGGGAATCGAACCCCGATCTCCTGGATCCTAGGTCAATGCTCAACTGCTGAGCCACACCGGGCCGGGCTCCTTGATGTTTCTATCTATCTCTGTCTCTCCCTTCCTCTCTCTGAAATCAATAAAGATATATTAAAAAAGAAAAAGAAAAAAGAAAAAGAGTAAGACATTGCTGCCAGAGTGTAATTTTTTGATTTCTCTCTTAAAAAAAAAAATGCTGGAGATGACATACTAGTGAGGGTGTTGGGGAAAAATGATCACTCAGATCCAGCCCAGCTGCCTCAGGAAGAGGGAGACAGAGATGAGCAGAGGGCATGTGGGGCCCATGGGTGCTGCCTACCCCCAGAGCTTCAGTTCCAGTTCGAGTCAGCTGGAAGTGACTACCCACCAGCCGAGGTTGCTTCAGGGATAACAATGACTGCCGCAGAGCAAGTGGCACAGCTGGTGTCCCACTGGAGTGACCATCCCATAGTATGACTGAGGGCTGGCCCTTGCCTGATGAACTGGGCGAGTAGCCTCCACAAGACAGTCAGTGAACAATGGCTTGGTCCAAGTGGCCTGTGTCCTATGCTGGATTCCTCTGGGGCAGGATCAGCAAACCACAGCCCTTAACCAAGTCTGGCCCCCAACTACTTTTATAAAGTTTTATTGGCACACGGACACACCCATTTGACCCCTACTATCTATGGTGGCCTTTGCTTAAAAGAGCAGAGTAGATGAGTGGCCAAAGAAGTTTTCTGGCCTCCACACACGTATCGCCTGGCCCTTTATGGAGAAGATCAATTGGTCCTGGTGAGTGAGAAAATTCCAGGAGCTGAATCCTTTGCATAAAGAAGCCACAGCACCAGAATTCAGTACAAGGAGCAAGGTTACCGCGTGGGACAAAACCCACATGGTCACGAGGCCCTGGATATGGCCTCATCCACTGTCCCCAGCCCAAACCCCTATAGGTACCAGAAGGATATCAGCCTAGCCTGGGGGCTTCAACCTGCAGTCCAGCTCTGTAAGCGTCCGCTCACTCAGGAGTTGTCCCCTTTCCCTCATCTTGGTCTCTAACCCACTGGCTGGGACCAGCTGCATCCCTTTAGCAGTGCCTTCCCAGGTTCCCAACCACACTTCACCCTAGGCAGTCCAACTGAGCTTTCAGAAGCAAAACTTGGCTCTCCTCCCTCCCTCTATCTCCTGTCATGGGTCCCCACTGCTCTCAGGGCAGAGACCAGGCTCCTTCCTGACCCCCACGACACATGAGCAGACCTCTGCCTCTGCCCAGCTCTGTCCTGATGGTCCCATACCTGCTGGTTCTTCAGAACCTTCAGGGAAGTCACCCTGCAGGTCTCCTCCCAGCCCAGGGCCCTCTCTGCGACCCCAGAATTCCCTGAACAGGACTGGCCCCCCAAAACAGCCTCCACATTTGTTTTCCACATCTTCGTTGCATCCACAAATAGCTTAACTGCCTCCAACAGGACTTTCTGCCACAATCACATTTGTCCCATTCAGTAGCTACATGCAGCTGGTAAAGAACTCCAACTCTGTGATTTTAATTAATGCAAATTTATATTGTCCTATATGGCTAATGGCTGCTGTATGGCACAGGCGGGCCCGAAAGATATAACCTAAAATAGTAATAACAGTAATAAAAATAACCACCATGGACAATGATCACATCTGAGAAAAATTAACAATGCCTTAAGAGCAACTATTCGGCTAGCGCTCAAGTAATTATTTTCTTTTTGGATTTTATCAGGTGGCTGACGCAACCTGAGCCCATCTGCTCTCCCTCTGGCTTTTCTCTAAAATAAAAATCCCCAAGAATCCATGGTGGCCACTTGACTGACTGCCCTGCCTACGTCTGGCCCGTGGTGCATGGGGTCTCACAGGGGTGGTGGTGAGAGCGACATGGGTTTGAATTTGGGGACAGCCCTTCCTTTTGGGTGGGGCTGTGGGCACTTACCACTAGTGGGTGGGGTAGGGGTTAGTGGGGTGTGCCTGTGGAGGTGGTTTACTGTTTTATACTTGGAGGAAAGCTGCAGAGAGAATGCCAGGATGTGCCCCAAATCCAAATTCACTTATCGTTTAAATTTCACCCTTTTTATTACCTGCTCTGTTTATAACGTTGTATGTGCCCCCGAAATAGGGGGCAGGAAGGTGGGGCCCTGTGATACCTCACCCAGGCAAGCAGATCTGAGGCTGGAGAAAAGGTGAGCGAAGGCTACATTCCACCGTTAAGAGAAGGCGGCCCCCAACCCAACCTTTCCTGAACTCCCAGGTCAGCAACCTCCAATCCTGGGGCTTCCCTAGTGGGCAGAGCTGTCCCTCTGATTAGGGGGTCCCACAAATACAGAGTAATTCACAGAGAAACAGGGTCCCCCAGCTGTAGAAGTTGGCCCACTCCCTTCCTCCTGTGAATTTCAGATCTGTGGCCAAAGTAGTAACAGAAAGACTACCTCCTGCTCCAGTCTCAAGAGGAGCCCATGAGGTATCCAAGGGTGGGGATGGGAGGGTCTGCACCCCCCACCCCCAAATGAGCTCAGAGGCCAACCTATGACCTCCCTACATGAAACAGATACGAGAGGGAAACAAACACAGAACCCAATCCATGGATAAATCATGGATTCAGGATTTATCCCAGGAAACAGAATATCTGAGATAGCAACTTCCACATCACCCCAAGGAAATTACAGAGCATGTGGTTCTCTGGAAGAAAGATGAGATTTCAGAGAGAGAGAGAGAGGAAGCAGGAAAAACTAAGAAAAGAAGTTCATGCAATAAATTCACAGATTTAAAAAAGCACCAGAGCCCTGGATGGTATGGCTCAGTTGGTTGGAGCGTTGTCTCGTATACCAAAAGGTGGCAGGTTCAATTCCCAGCTGCGGGCATGTGCGGGAGGT